ATTCATAAGTTTGATTGTTTGTGTCGGTCTGGGTGTTTTCTATGTATAATATGTATGTATTTACTAAAAAAAAATATCTTTGTATATGTATCAGTTATCTAGTACACACAAGTTTTAGCTGGCTTAACTTGGGTCTAGAAGGCGCTGTGTGAATTGTCTTGAGATTATTATTATTATTATTATTCCTGTCGATCGCAGTTGGCTTTTACAGTTTCACCGAACGATACGGGGCGAGTGCAGATGGCCCTCAAAGGGACATATACAGCGACTGAAAGCCAATTCCTGCCTACCTTTACTATCCGTCAGGCAGGAATTGGCATAAGACCACTCAGAATTCGAACCTCGACTCGGGCCATCGAAATTTCCGCGTTCCGAATAAGTGGTAAAATCAAAATGAAATGATCCGAATTTTATTTACATAACTTAATTGTACAACTAGGAACCTAAAATTAAAAAGCTTAAAAAATATAATATAATAACTAAAATATATTATTAAAAGGAGTCCTTTTAGGCAAAGTTCCCTCTTCTTTGTTCCTTGGACAAAAAAGAAGGAACCTGCCAGAACCTGCCAGCTTTTCGGTCTTCAAAACAATTATCATTTTAACCGAAACAGTACAACTTTAGTAAATTGATAACTGTAATGTAGATATCAGTAAAGTGTTATATATTCAGCCTTTGAAACAATGACCTGAGAGGCGTGGGGTCCGACTGAGGTCACCAGCTCGGTATGTAGACCGGAAGGCCGCCGTTCCCATGGGTTTGCGCCGCAGATGACAGCCTGGGAACCCCATTGTGTTAGTTTACTGTTACGCTGGACTCTCTCTAATATCAAAATGATTATCCGCATATTTGGTTCTTTTTTATATACGACTAGCTTTTACCCGCGAATTATAATAGAAATAGAAATAATCTTTATTCAAATAAACTCATTACAAGCACTGGTAGAGAATGCCATCAGGCATGTATACAATTTTGTGCGCAAAAGAATAAATAAATAAATAAGTACACACTGTAAACAAACGGGCTTAAAAAAATCGTTTGCGTTTCTTTGCAGTTCTTTTAAATTGAATCTGTATAAAGAACTGGCCGGTTTGAAAAATATATTAATACAAAAAACTTGACGTCCATATGCGTATAATTGATTATTTTTTTTATATTTGATATGATTGAAAATATAAATACTATAAATAAATTCGTGTAAGAATGTTGCATAAAAAGCACAATACAAAAAAATTACAGAAAAATACTTTTGGAAAAAGTATTTTATAGAAATAGAAATAATCTTTATTCAAATAAACTCATTACAAGCACTTTTGAATTGTCATATTTTGATTCTACCACTCATTCGGAATGCAGATTCATCACAAGGAGAATGAGCAAGAAACTTGTGTGTTCTCTTTAATAGATGTTTTTTTATATAAATAATTACAGTGTAAAAAGTAAAGAGGCATGCGATAATCAACATAGAAATCGCTACGCACTCATTATTATTGTTATCAGATAATATTGTCAGTGCTATGGATTTTAAGTTTTTATTTTTACGTACAATTTTATAGTAAGCTTTTTTACAAAGGAAGTATTTTATATGACATGTAAATCTTTTTTCAGGCAGATTTATAACATACTCTGGTGTTTTGTTGTAAAACCTTACGCAATTGCCATAAAACGAATTAATAACTTTGGCTAAACGACATTTAGGTAAAATCATCAAATGACTTTATCACTGGCTGCTAGGTGGTAAAAATGGTTGATATTTTATTTTATATAGCTACAGCACTAACCTGCTATAATTACTAACTTTATGTGATTATTTGTCAGTTTTTTATAATAACCCTGTACAATTTACACTGCATCATCTAGTCTCAAGTTAAACAGAGCTTGTGTTATGAGTACTAGACTGATATAAATACATATATGATTTACTTTTGTAAATATGTATATACAGCAAACAGTCAGTTACAAACAATCATAGTAATGGATACAAATGTACTGTGCGAGGAATTGAATCAACGACCATCAGTAGCAAAGCGATTGGCTAAACCGCTACACCACTGTACCAAAGTTGTAGGCATAGTTTGTGTTTCAGTTCAGTAACATTAACTAAAGATTTTAGATCGCTTATCTAATAATTTTAATTGGATTAGTCTTGATAATTTTACTTTAACTGGGATACGCTTCTCTCCTACTAACGTAACAAGTTATTGTTAATTAATTACAGGCTGCAAATTAAAAATAATAAAGTAACTAAATATTCTCACGACATAAATCTCTAAAGTGGTTTTTTAATATATTTAATTCTTAAACATTTAGACGGTCTCGGTGGTCTAACGGTTAAGCACACGGCTTTACTTCCGATAGTCGCAGGTTTGATTCCTCGCATGGTACAAACATTTGTATTCATGAGTATGATTGTTTGTATCGGTCTGGGTGTTTTCTATGTATAATATGTATGTATTTACAAATTAACACGTATTTGTATCAGTTATCTAGTACCCATAACACAAGCTTTAGCTAGCTTAACTTGGGTCTCTAGATGGCGCTATGTGAATTGTCCTGATTGTTTTCTATGTATATAAACAAAAAAATTGTCTAGTACCCATAACACAAGCTCTGCTTACCGTGGGACTAGATGGCGCTGTGTTAATTGTCCAGGGTTTATTTATTTATTTATTTTTAGTATCAGAATTCAATATCTGATTTAAATAAATAATTAAATGCAATATAATAACACATTACAACTCCATAAGTTTTTTTAAACGAAATTTACAAAAAATATATTATACAAAACTTACTTCCAATTTATTAAAATACTAGCTATACACGCGACTTCGTCGGCGTGGAATTTACCTTGATTTTTCTAAATTAAAGGTAGCCTAAGTTACTCCTTATGCATAAGCTACCTGCCAATAAAAGTCCCGTCAAAATCAGACCAGCCATTTCAGACATTAGCCAGAACAAACAGACAGACAGACAAAAATTGGAAAAAATGTCATTTTGGTGTATGTACCGTATTTATATTCATATGCATGTAGTAAAAGATGGTTATTTCAATATTACAAACAGACACTCCAATTTTATTTATATGTATACATATATTAAATTAAATTATTATAACTGAAATAAATTACTTTCATACTAATTTACAACGGCATCATCAACAACTGCGTTCACATTTTTATCTTTTATCTTTTATCTTTGCAACTTCCAAGTTCGTTTGGTATTATCCTAAAGTAACACTGGGTGATGTTGGTGTAATAATACTTAATGCATTTATATTCATCATTGCCTTGCCTTTATCCCATTATTTGTGGTCGGCGCAGTATGTCATTCTCTTCCACTGCTCTCTATCGGTCGTCATATCTGAACATACTCTTCTTTTATTCATATCATCTTTCACACAATCCATCCATCTTTTCTTAGGGCGTCCCCTCCCTTTACATCCATCCACATTCATATTATACACTTTCCATAAGACATGGTCCTCGTTCCACCGCATAACAGCGTAATCTGTTACCTCGCAACTTTTCTATAACTGACTCACATATACATTTATATTATTTTGTTTATTTCCGCTACCATTAGCATGTGTGAGACCACATATATTCAGTACGGAAACCTGACCACCGCTACCAGGAACGTTACAACTAGAGTTGCCAGATCCTTTTCAGCTTATAAGGGACAAATGCTTAAATAGGCAAAAAAAATATGGTAATTTAGTTACCCGGGACAAATAAAAAACAAAATGATATAGTAACATTCTTTACTTTTTTTAAACATTTTTGGAAGAACAACTCAACTTTATTGCCAAATTTACACTCAGCCCGAGTGGGCAGGGAAGTGAGCAGCGCGAGAGTGTAAACACGAGTGGAAACACTTCCCATGCCATTGGCGCTGCCACTCGCGCTGCCCGGCGCTCCCTCGATTGTCGGTTTTTCGTGCGCGAGTCAAAGGACTGGCAGCGCGAGTGGCAGCGTGTTTTTACATTCAGCCCTCTCGCTCAGTTGTCGCCCGGCAATATTTCCGGCAGCGCGAGTGGCAGGGGAAGCGGCTGAATGTAAACGTAGCATAACATATTTCGTTTTAACATATGTATAAAAATCAATACAATTATAATCGTTATTAAAAAGGGTCCTTAACTCGCTTTTTATTAAATTACGGGTACAAACGTTGCCTGTTTGAGTATTTTTTGTGTTCTGATGAATTGTTCGACATGATGCCTACGGCTACCTTTTACCATCGCACCGCTCGCCATCGACAGGGAATTCATCTCCACACGCTGGAACCTAAGTGGTCTCGGACAGTGCGGTTTCAGAGGAGCTTCCTCCCGCGTACACTTAGATTGTGGAATGAACTACCTGCCGAGGTTTTCTCAAGGGGTTTTTCAAGAAGGGTATTTTAAGGTTTCTTAAGGGTCGGCAACGCGTATGTGACACCCCTGGTGTTTCAGGCGTCCATAGGCTACGGTAACCGTTTACCATCAGATGGACCGTATGCTTATTTGCCACCTAAGTGGTATAAAAAATTAAGGTTTCTTAAGGGTCGGCAACGCGTATGTGACACCCCTGGTGTTTCATCGTCCATAGGCTACAGTAACCGTTTACCGATAGATGGGCCGTATGCTTGGTTGCCACCTAAGTGGTATAAAAAAAAATATTGTCTAGCGTAGATCAATCGATTTAACAATAAAAAAATAGAGCACGTTTCTAATACGGGACAGAGTCAGTCCTGCTGGGACATTTTAAACTAAACCTAAAATACGGGTCGTCCCGGGAAATAAGGGACGTCTAGCAACTCTAGTTCCAACCTTCTATTGGTGATCAAATTCCGCCCGTTGTTGAATCTACATTCATATTGCGACACGTGTTCCGCCTCCGGCATCATCAGGCATTGAAGAGTATGATATAGCTTGAAAGCCTAGTGTTGACTATTTGGCGGTGAAACTGAACAAACTTGCTCTCTTTGTAACGACTTCTTGATTTGATTTGATTATGGTATTTCAGGAGTGCACAAAAATGGACCTTCTGCCCGGATGTACAATCGTGGCGACCGCAGCATCAATACATACGGTCAGTCTTATTATTAACTAGCGACCTTTCGGACTACTCTAATGCTCTTGGCTGCAGCTGGCCTTTACAGCTTCACCGGACGATAGGGGGCGAGTGCAGATGGCACTCCAAACCAAGGAAGGACTTATGGAGCGGCTGAAGGCCAACTCCCGCCTGACGGATACGACTTTAGTCTGAGGGCACCACTAGGGGTTCGAACCTCGGCTCAGGCAGTCGTAATTTCGATCCCCGTTTGAATTGGACGGGGAATCGATGTGAGGGGAGTAGCGACCTGTACATATAAATAAAATAGAAGAGTCCGTTTCATAACATACATATCTACTTAAATATATTTAACTAGCTGTGCCCGCGAATTCGTTCGCATGGTTATCAAAAGCATTATTGCGATTATCTTTATTTTCCCAGTTTTTGCAACAATTTTCACTGATGCTTCGCTTCTATTGGTCGTATCGTAATGTTATATAGCTTAAAGCCTTCCTCGATAAATGGTCTATCTAAAACTAAAAGAATTATTCAATTCGAACCAATAGTTCCTGAGATTAACGCGTTCAAACAAACAAACTCCTCAGCTTCATAATATTAGTATAGATATAACCATATAAGTTTCTTGCTTCCTCTTCTTGTGATGAGACAGCTTTCCGAATTTCGGGTAGATTAAAAAAAACTGTGACAATTCAAAAGAAATTTAAGTTTGTTTTAAAAAAATATTTCTATACTATTCATTGCAGGGTCACTTCACCTGCCTCCCGGGTGCATGTACGAAGGGCGGTGGTTCACTGAGGGTGCGGTGGTGACAACCCACGAGGCGTGTTTGAGTTGCACGTGTGCTAAGGGTGCGCTCTCGTGCCGCCGTCGAGCATGCGCCGCTCTACCTGACCCACCCCCACACCGGTGCCACATCCTCCATCGTAAAGGATCTTGCTGTCCAGAACTACATTGTCCTGGTGAGAATTCTTTAATATAATAATGTCAAATACCTAAATGTCAACTAAAGTTGGTAATTCGTTTTATGGCAATTGCGTAAGGTTGTTGTAAACAAAATACCAGAGTCTGTTATAAATTTGCCTGAAAAAAGATTCAAATGTCATATCAAATACTTCCTTTGACGATTTTAATGGTGACGCCACGGAATGTTCGAGAAGGAGTGCAGAATTGTATATAAAATAGAATCGATGTTCTGTGCCTGACGTTAGAAATTTGAAATTTGAAATTTTATTTTTAAATTATATTAATTATTGTCGAATACAATCAACATAGAAACCGCTACGCACTTAATCTCTGTTCAATCAGATAACATTGTCAGCGCTATGAATTTTAAGTTAGATATTTTCTACAAAAACATTATTATCGTTTGTAATGTATTATAATGTATGTTTTAAAGATGGAATTACTTCAATGGAACATGGCGCATCAGCCAGATTGGAGGTAGAAGATTTCTCCGACATCGCCACACCAGCCTCTGTTATTCACGGTAAATTTAATATCTTTAATAGCTTAACTCAAGTTAAGCTAGAGCTTGTGTTGGGGAGGTCCCTTCGATGGGAACCATACCGGTGGTGTTGGTGAATGCTTGCGTATCCCATGGCCACGGCGATTATGTCGAGGAGGAACAGTCGTCAGGTTTTTAGCAGGTAGGAGTCCGGCAGTATCCATTCGTCCCTAAGCGGATGGTTCTCCATGATGGATTTTCCTGACGTGAAAAAAAAAAAAAAAAGAGCTTGTGTTGGGTACTAGACAACTGATACAAATACATAGATATATTTTTTCGTAAATATATGAATATTATAGACTAGCTGTACCCGAGACTTCGTCTGCGTGGAATTTAACTTTAATTTTCTAAAATCATATATTTTTTCTAAAATAAAAGTAGCCTAAGTTAATCCTTATTACCTCAGCTACCTGCTAATAAAAGTCCCGTCAAAATCGGTTCAGCCATTTCAGAGATTAATCGGAACAAACAGACAGACAGACAAAAATTTTAAAAATGTTACATTGGTGTATGTATCGTATTTATATTCATATGCATGTAGTAAAAAACGGTTATTTCAATATTACAACCAGACACTTCAATTTCATTTATATGTATAGATTGAAAATCTACTATAAACTTTTCTTTTCGATAAATGAATTTCATTTTATCACCATTAATTACAGCTGATTGTTGTTTTGAGCATTTCCAGCTTGCGTGGAAGGTGGTAGTGTATACTCCGCGGGGTCTGCAATGAGCTCGAGCACAGCTTGCGAGCAGTGCTTCTGTTTGGGCGGGGGGCGGCGATGCGTGCGACCTCGCTGCCTGCCGCCCCCACCCGGGTGCAGGGCGCGGCCAGCCCCGGGAGCCTGCTGCCCGCAGAAGTACTACTGCAATCATATCAGTACTAAACCTCCTGAACAGATGAATATCCATGGTAAGTTTACAATATGGAAGTTAATCTAGACACGCGTGATAAAGCCGAGTTTCAAGTAAGATAACTGGCGAGCAGCACCGTGTGTATACACGAACCATTTGGATCCACTTTTGACCCCCTCATAACTCACTATACTGGACATTACATGATTATTGACTTTACGATTTTTAATTAATGGTTATTTATCTATAATTTTTAAACAATAATATTTTGCATGCCGTTGCTGTGGTTTGCCACAGCATACATGACAGTTTAATTATCATCATTTATACATTGTTTTTGAGCAAATAAATAATTATTATTATAAAACTTGATTGATTTATCAGTCATTTCATAATGATTACAGATTGCAAAGTAGCAGGAGAATGGATTTCCGAAGGAGAGAGGGCAATTGTAGCTGAAATTAAGAGCAATTGCACGCAGTGCTTCTGTCTTCGTGGTTCGGTTCGCTGTCAGCCTCTTGCTTGCGCACCACCTCTCCTCGGCTGCAAGCCATTACTGCGGCCAGGACAGTGCTGCCCTCATCAATATTACTGTGATCACAAAGAACATGGTAAGTGACCTGTATCTACAATTTGTAGAATGAATAATAATAATATGAGGACAATACACAGCGCCATCTAGTCCCAAGCTAAGCATAGGTTATAGGTACCTAAACTACTAATATAAATACATAAACGTTTTTCAGAAATACATACATAATATTGTTTTAAGGAATCAAATATCCTCACCGTTGCTTCTCGATACATTTATGAAAATATCATGTATGCCAGGAAGAATATAGACAATTTCAAAAGAGTTAGTGATTACACTAATAAAAGCTTACGTAATAATAGCAAACTGATTTTACCTAAATGTCGTTTAACTAAAGTTAGAAATAGAAATAGAAATAATCTTTATTCAAATAAACTCATTACAAGCACTTTTGAATAGTCATATTTTGATTCTACCACTCATTCGGAATGCAGACTCATCACAAGAAGAATGAGCAAGAAACTTGTGTGTTGCTCTTTTGAATAGATGTTTTTTTATATAAATAATTACAGTGTAACAAGTAAGAGGCATGCGATAATCAACATAGAAATCGCTACGCACTCATTATTAGTGTAATCAGATAATATTGTCAGTGCTATGTATTTCAAATTTTTCTACAAAAACATTATTATCGTTAACGAATTCTTCAATTTTATAGTAAGCTTTTTTGCAAAGGAAGTGTTTTATTTGACATTTAAACCGATGTCTACGTCATAGTAGATTTATGCATGCATCTCAGCCCGATCGGTTTAAAATTGACAAACTTTCATACAAACTTTCATCGCCTATTTTATACCTTTGGGGGTAGAATTAATCGAAATCCTTTCTTATCGTGCTTTCCTACGTCATAACATCTACCTGCATGCCAAATTTCAGCCCGATCAGTGGTTTGGGCTGTACGTTGATAGATCACAGTAATATAATATTTGCTCAATAAAATAATATTACTAAAGTTTTTTATACTTCGTAATCCGTATAAAAGGTAGGCCTTTATTATATACGTGAGGGTATATAGGTTTATTATATTCATTGGGGTATTTATATTTTAAAACTGTAATATTCTTGCAGTTTCGAATATATGAATTTGAAATTCTATATATATATATAATCTTAATTTATAATACTTCATATTTACGAATTAACTTAATAAATATAATAATGACGAATTAGGCTTTGAAGCCGGCTACCGCAAGGGAAACTCCAAGTAGCGCCTGCGACTTGTGACACGGGTGTAGGTTTAAAAGGCCCTTTTAGAATGCATTAACATTCATCTTCACCACTTGCAGCTTCCCCCCAGGCCAAACTAAGACCGGGATAAACTCATTTCTAATACAATTCACTTTAGTATCCAAAACACAACCGGCACGCTCTGCGCTCGTCGGCTGAATGCCGCGGCTCACGCAACGAAAGAGGATTATTCAACTACCGACCTCCGTATTTATAGACCGAAGTCAGTGTAGTAGGCCGGTCTATTAATACTAGATGGCGCTATTTATAACATTTGTAATAATCTTTACATTGGATACTTCATTAGTACTAAACACAAACTACCTTCTTTTAATATATTTTTATAAGATCGAATTTTTTCTTCAATATTGATGCGAACTCTAACAATAGTAATAATTACTAATGTATATCATATATTTCAGGTCTCGTTACACCGTACGTATCAATGCCATTGGATAATAGCTTGATTTCAGTCAGAAGTAACGATCGCTCGTTTCATAATAAATTTACTGATCAGGAAACTACAACAAAAATTATGTCCACGAGCACTAACGCGGCTAAAACTTCTGTGTCGAATACAAACCCAAATACTACTACAACAACTAAAGTAAAAAGAAAGACTAATGATCCACCTGTAGTAAAATCTCAGAAACTTATTGAAAATGTTAAAACATCGACAACACTATCACCGACTACGGCCACCGGAAATGATGAAGAAAATAATATTACAACAGAAAATATTTCAACAGAACAACCCCCGGAAACAATAAAAATCACGATCAATGGAACGATAAACTGCACTGCAGAGTTATCATCTACATCTCTTCCTCTAAATATTACAATGAATAACACAAACAAGATCGAACTTGAAGCTCAACCTCGGATACCGATTATCAACAAAATTGATATCGAAGCTCAAACTTTCTCT